CTGCCTACATTTAATTACTTCCCCTCTTTGCATTTGCAAAAGAGACAACTTTTTCCTCCTTTCATTTGGTTTCACGCTCACGTGTTCCATCGCCCTCGCTTTGGATTTGTTCATTTTGAATCATTTTCCTATATTCTAATTAAACTACAAAATTTTGAACTAGGATACGAGGTAAGACATGTAAACAGATATTTCAAAACTACCTGTAGAGTCCAAAAAACTTAATAAATAAATCCTTCATTTCTTCAATGCAAATTCTCTTTTAATCTTTCATTTAGTGTAGTTAGTGTTATCATAGTACCACATGTATTCATAGAAAATAAAACGTGGACACTTTTTCAGTGTGCAACATTCCAACATGGGTCCATCGAACAAGTTTTATCCTTGAGGCCGATATCACATAAAGGATAAGAGTCCCTCTATAAGATTGCTCACAAGAGACTCAAACTTATATCAAATCATGGTAATGTTGAATTGCTTTGCATCAAAAGCATAAATGATAAGCGGGGACATAGGTTTTAGTATGTATAGTGGAGGAAAACTCAACCTTGGCCTTCTCAGCAGCTTTTCTGAGTCTTTGTAGTGCTAACTTGTCCTTATTTAGATAGTCAAGAGATACACCATAAAATTATGCACCACTAAGAAAAGTGTCACCATTGGTTGCCTTGACCAAAAAAATGTGTTAAATTAAGAATTATAACACCAAATTCAACATCTTGGAACAGACACTCAAGTGGATATCTTATTCTACAATATATATGTATAATGCAGAATAGTCCTAAAGCCACACATATTTATATGGTGAGTATAACATACTTTGTTTTAAAATTTTATGAGAGATTTTTAAGACACACCGGATTATCCATATGATGAGCACTAATATTTACATATATACTTTGAATGGTAGTGTACAAGATTATATGGAGATGCAATTAACTTATTCATTGATTTATTGGAGCATGAAAGAAATGGATATCGGAGAATTCTTTGGTTGTTATTATATATAAAATATTATCTTAGCCATATCACTGAAAAAAAGCCTATACTGATGAGAGTTTGTGAGCCTCTGACTGCGCTCTCTCTCTGTGGATGCACCTTTGCTGGTTAATTTCACAGACTTTACTTTTTGAATTAAATGTCACTTTAACGTTAGGTATTTAATTTAATGATATTGTTATCTTATCGTGCGATCCGTGTGTTTTAGTACAAAGAGATTTAGTTGTCCCATAGCAACGCTATGGTTCGGCTACCTAGTAAGAAACTAAGAATGAAAAAGATGGACCACAAAATCTTAGCAAATTCAGAACAATGAAAAAACATTTGAGTCCTAAAACCTAAGACTCAGAGCATACACCTAAATTTGATGGGTGCCATAAAACCTGCGAGCCTTAGATCGAAATCAAGAACAGATCCCAAACAATCTATACACATGGCAGCTCCATGGTAGAAGATTCTGTAAAAACCATGCAAAATTTATAGATATGCTACTGGTGAAAATTTAGAAGATTCTGTAAAAACCATGCAATATATATATGATTGAACAGTACCAAGAGCCCAGCGATATCATATATGGTTCGAAAAGTGTTCAAAATAGGAAGCTCCCAAACTTCAGTAATTCAGCCAGCACTGCAAGAAAGAATCATGGTCAAGTTTGCAATTGACCTATACTAAACAACAGTTCTGGGTGGTTTTGCATGACTCTCCTTGTGTTCAGGGACTGACACAAGACAAATATCTACTCCCTTGATCCCTTCTATCCAGTTGAAAGTCATTTTTGCTTCAGCTGCATTAATAAAGGAGGAAACTAAAAAGGGGCATGGTTTCTTCATTTCTTCCTAGACTTAAAGACCATTCTTTTAATAGCCTACACAGCATTTAATATTTAGTAGTCAAATATGCCACTGTAATTGTTGACAGATCATCCCTTCAACTTTTTCAGTGTGCGCCTCAATGCAACACATAATGAACAAGTTTTGTTAGATGCCGATAAATATAATTGGTGGTTGGCAGTCATCATAAAGCAAAGCCTGATGATACTTCTTCCATCCATAAATGTAAGCATTTTTAGGATTTTTAGGACAGATTAAGGAGAGGAAATGACCACGATACCCCAGGCCTCAATCAAGTGATCAACACCTTCCTCACAGATAACCAATGCCTCAAATGGCAAACAATAATTAAATGATGAGGGAGGGGAGTGTTCGATTAGGCAACAAGTGCTTACATTTGTGGAGAAATTTTAAACACTGCAAATGCTTAAATTTGTGGACAGAGGCAGAGGTAGTTGTTTGCAGCCTGCATAGTATAATGCAGAACAGCCTCTTGCTGCCTAGTATGAATTCAGCAGACACAGACCTGTGGCGCACAACGGACAGAACACTGTTAGGGCTCACTTGGAGCTATTCGCTTTGAATGGTAGTTTACCTCTCACATTCCACATGTGTGCCTCAATTCCAATAACTGGAGCGGCATACATTGAGGAGGTATTTTGAAAAGGCAAACCTATCGGTAAATGTGATATGTTTGGTTGTTATTGTTACGGGGAGTACTTCTGTTAGTTTTAGTTTACATGCTGCACGACACAGATGCACCTTGCTGGCTGGTAAGTACACAGAGGACCAACAAACACACACTGGAAAATGTCGTCATAGTTCACTTAGAATGATTACTCACCTTTGCCACCTACCTCACTGTCTGTCGCAATGACAATAAATGGTCACTACATAATGTGGAAGAGATCTGCTTGTTTCAGGATAAACACTATGGTTCGGCAGTGTGTTATGGACTACTATGTATAAATGGACCTTTGGGGGTTAATCTAGAGCAGGCTGGCAATGTGGACAAACATGACGCATACTAGACAGCACACTACCAAAGCACTCACTGGACATCGTTAACTAGGAATAAAGCCCATCGCTGTTGCTTTCCTCAACATATAGGTAAAAATTGTTGGAAACCACCCAATCGTGATATTTGCTGAAGGACATGGCCAAAACCTAGTCTAGCTGGTGAACAACATTCCTCTCTGGCAATTTGCATGAGCATGCAAGAGGCAATGAATATGAATATGCATTTAGATAATCCTCAGTTTAGTGGGATCCATGAGTTAGACTTGGTCTTCTTTCCTTGATCCCCACCGAGGCCTAAGTGCACTGTGATACTACTATCATGATTGGAATCCAACAAATTCGATGACTGATCTGGCAATCCTAAGGCTGATTGCAGTAGTGACTGGGCTGCCCTAGTGTTCGGCCCAACAAAGATCATCAGCTAGCACATCCTCGCCAAGGATGTCGCATACTCCATGCAATTATGTACCTTCTACAGCCTGTGGAGGTGTAGTATCGACCCAAGCAGAAAGGTTCAGCCCATCGCTGCTTCCAAGTCCACAAAGAGCATTTGCTATAGAAGTGGTGTCCCACAAAGTAGTGCGCCTCAGAAAGTGTGATATGCACACACATCAACAGAATCTATTTTCAAAATCCACAGAAGTCGACATCGTACAGACTACACACTATAAAAGGAGGGGGGACGTGTGGCTACCAGCTGGTGCTTTAACGAAGAGGAGGGGCAGGAGGGAGAGGTGGTACCCCACCCATAAATTTCTATCTTGCATCCACCACTGATTTTAGGGCAGTCAAGTGAGGTCATGGAAGGAGACACAGCCAGAGCTGGCGAAGCTAGTATTGCATAAGCCGCATAAAACACATTGGTAGCTCCCCTTTGACATTGAGGTGGGCTTGTGGCCCATTTTTCGCTATGCATTGCAGGGAGAGCAAGTTCTATTGCCCTTTCTTTTGAGTTCCCAGGGCAGGGTGACCCTGAGGGAATGGTGATGTACAAATTCAGTGTGTTGTTGTCCACATCTGAGATGGAATTACATGTTGGGGAGTACACCGTACATCTATCATGTCAAGATTTTTTATGAACTTTAGGAGGGTGCTGCACTACATAGACCACCATATTCATATAGTCAATTGCAGCCTTGCAGGGATCAAAATCCAAAATAAAAAGTGATTTGGAATGGCAACTGTTGATTAAATTTATGTAGCAGCTTACTCACAGAAAAAAGTATGTAGCAGATCTTCATAATTCTCTATCCCTCAAGGGCCACAGAGCACAGAATGAGACATTTTGTGCTTAATAGGCATATACATGTAAAGCACTTGACCATGCCTTAATCCTTTACAAGCACTGTTGCTATGCCACATTGACTTCGTTACTTTCTTTTCTCACACATATTTAATTTCGCTCAAACTAACAATAGGGCCCCACCCAATGGTCTTCCCATCCAAAAATAGAATTAAGTAGCACAGACAAAGCACAATAGACCCATCAGAAATATTATGCACCCTCAAAACCAATCTGCATGTTTGGTACCAGAAAGGGATTAAGGATCGATGCTGAACTTTCTAGGTCTGGTTAAATTTGGCCACGCACACACATAGTATATTTATTTGATATATTCACACAAAAGTGTGATTATGCATAAACAACAATTCACTGACAAACCAAAATGGTTAGGGGAAGTGTATCAAGACAATATACCATGGCGTTGCCTTATCTTTGGATGATCACAAAGTAGTGGACTGGTGGTAGTTATACAAGATCAGGATATGAATATTTAGTTGTTGCATATCAAGTCTGTGTTTAAGAGTTTCAGCAATGTCAAGTTTACAGAAACGGAAAGGTCCATAATGTACCATGGGCCAGCCCCTCAAGATATCTCCAATGGACAAGTCTCTTGATCCATTGTAGACTAAAAGCAGTTTTAGACACAGAGTATGTCCAATAAAGAAATTTTCTGGTCCAAACATAACGGGTTTAAGAGGTATTTAGTCTAGTGGCCTGGTCAATATACTAAATTCACAGAACCTTTACACAGGCATCTTGATGGCAATTGCATTGCTGGTTTAAGAACACACACATCTCATCCATAACTAGCTCAACATATCACATTAATCGCACATACATGCAGGACTAGGCCCAATCATATGTATCTAGTGATAAATTGCGATCCCTGGTGTCAACATGGTCCGAACCGCAAGCAAGAACAGGAGAATTGGAACAAACTCTAAGTGCACGTGTGCGTGGATGCGGAAGGTCACCTGGTGGGTAGGGACTTGAGGTGAGAGGTGAGAGGTGAGCGCGGAGGCGTGGTGGTGGACGCAGGCCGCGGTGCCCAGGGCGAAGGCGCCCGTCCAGGTGGAAACAAGGCGCTGCGGGTTGGAGTGCGGGACCCCGGAGTCGCTTCTGTACGCCCGCGCCCAGTAGTCGTCGAACTCACCCATTTTCCTGCTCTTTCCCCGAATCGAACCTTCTCGTCGGTGCCGGCGGCGAGGCTCCGGGAAGAAATAGATGGATGGCGCGGCCTGGGGTTTTGGGGACCACGGATGACCGGAAGAATGGATAATATATGGTACGGAGTGGATTGACGAACCGCGGTTGTTTGAGACACTCTGGTTATGCTAACCGTGCCTAATTTTTTTCTCGACAATCCATAATTAGAACCAGCACGATAGGACGATGCTGCGCCGGTCTTTCGAGAGGTAAAAAATCCACGAGAAGGAAAGAGAGAGAGAGAAAAGAAATAAAAATAAAAAAGAAAAAAAGAAAATGAATAGTACCAGAAGCGCGGAGAGCCATGGATTCATGGGTGCTTAAAGAGGGGAGTCATAGTTATATATTGTTTTCTTGTATATGTCTTGCGTGTATTGCTGAGCTATTTGCATTAACTACGACGACCAATTATGTCCTAAATGATGTTATTCTATAAATTAACATAAGAAACCACCTGAATACAAAAGATCTATGTACATTATATTTATTTTCTAACTTCAACGAGTGAGGATAGATTGTGGAATGATTCATAAAATAAGTAAGGAGCAACTCTTACAATGGCGTATGTGGCATATTGTCCATTAATTAAGGAATTGTTCAGTATAAATGTGGAGATTTAAATGCAAAGTTGACCGTGCATGGCTGTGGGCAAACACATACGTAGGCTACCACGCTCAAGCTAGCAACGAGGATGAGGCATGGGTCAACTATGAGTAGGGTAGGAAATGCATAGGCCATCAATAAGCCATATGAGCAGGTAGAGTGAGGCGATAAAGTCGGCATGGGTTAACTATGAGTAGGATGGGAAATACGTAGGCCACCAATAAACCATGTGAGCAGGTAAAGTGAGGCGACGAAGTCCATAGTGTTAAGATCCTTCGTACCATCATAGATGCCAATGGAGGACCACCCACACTCCTTGACACCGTGATTCGAACATTGTCCTCGCTAGCTTTCTCATGTGCCAATTGCAACTAGTGTAGTTAACATTATAGGCGGCGAGCGAGAGTGACATTTATGTCTGGCAACTTTAGATTCATCTAAAACTTATTTGCCCTCATGAGTCACAAGTGCATTGCTAAAGTTTAGTAGAAAGTGCTTGCAAATGCGAAAGTCTCTAACGGAGTCTAGGCAACTCTTATTTATTCAAATGTGGTGGCGCCGGGACATGCGCATGACGTCGAAAAGCTTTCTGAGGAACCTTATGTCTGGAGAGAAACTCATTGTAGGTGTGCATGTGGTCCACATGTATGAAATCCAATGCCTAATCTTGGTGCCTGTGGGAGACATCGATCAGCCATAAAGCAAACACGTTCTAAATGCTTTCGCGTGCCTCATGAGCAAAATATTCGAAAATATAAATCTCAGTAGCTGGTTATATGTATCAGTAAAATAAACTAGAAGCTGAATAACGCGGTTTTTTTTTCAATTTTTTTTTGGCCAAAAAGAAAAAAAAAATTCTAAAGTTCTAAAGCTGGCATTTTTGTGTGGCAAAAATAAAACAATTTAAATATCCGGCAAATTTCTGAATCCCATTCGCTGTGACCCTAGTCCTCGCCTGATTAACCTGTTCCAATGTCCACCGACTTGCAGGCCGAAATAGAGGCGCAATTGACTGTTCCCCTCGAACCCTAAGCTCTGGATCTGAGCAGCAGCCGGGGCATGGGGTCATGGGCGCGAGGTGTCGAGTGCGGCGGTGGCTCAGACGCTGGAGGTGGCGGCGGGGTTCGCCTACGCGCACCTCTTTGCGTTGGGCGCGTTCGTCACCTCTGCCGCCCGCCGCGTTCCGCGCCGTCCTCCCGGCCACGCAATCTCCAGCTTGTGCCACGTCTTCGGTCCCAGAATCTCTCTCGAGGAGGTTTCCTGGGGCCTAGGGGCCGTCTCCCCTGGCCACTGACTCCTCGTCTCCGGCATTCTGAGGTATATTGCCATGTTTAATTGCACCTAGTTGCCTCGGTGGCTCTAGTGTCTCATGACACACTTTGCTTAGCTATGCCAAAGTTTCTGATACAGCCAGCTTTAGCAATGTGGGCAATGCTAGGATTTACACATGGATGGGGACTGGTGTGCACAAGTTGTAAGGTTTTGCAGCCGACATAGATGCGATGCCATTTTATCCGACATAGCATGGATAACATAAAATTGAGATGTCTATTTACTCTTGTTACAATCAAAGTTATTAACCACGGTTGTTGAGGTTTCACATTAAGGTTTCATAAAAGCTATAAGCAATGTTTTTGAGGCGTCGCCTAGTCGTCGCCTAGGCGTCGCCTAGGCGACAAGGCGTGGTCGAGGGCCTGGGCGTCGGGGTCGCCACGACCTCAGCGTGTATGGCGTCCTCCTCATAGGGTTAGGCGTCGCCTAGGCGCAAATGGCGTCGGGCGGACGCCTACAACCGCGCCACGGACGCCGGATGCCGGTCGTAGGGGAAGGGCGCCAAAAGGAGCGCGGCCCCGCTGGAAATCGACCGAGGCGCGGGAAATCGACCGCGCGGGCGCCCAAGTAGCTTCTTCGCGTGGGAAATCTAGCGCGCGAATCATTCACCGCGAGTGCGGGCGAGGAGAGGGGAAGAGAGAAGGCGGCGGACGTACCTCGACCTCCGCTAGGCGCGGACTCTGCTCGTGTCCACCGGTCGGCCGCCCCTGCCGCGGAGCCGGCCCTGCATCTGGCCGTCCGCCCCTGCCGTGGAGCCTGTCGGGCCCTTCCGCCCCTGCATCTCCGCTTGACTGCGCCTCTGTCGGGCCCTTCCGCATGGTCTGCTCTGCTTGTCTGCTCTGCTCTCTGCTCTCTGCGCCTCCGTCGGGCGCCTCCACTCTACTCTGCTTGTCTTCCGTCGGGCCCTTTTCCAAATCTCGTGCTCTGCTGTCTGCCCTGCTTGTACTGCTGCACTAGTATATGTATGTGCTCTGCTTGTCCGCTGTCTGCTCTGCACTAGTGCGGGAGAAGAGCTTTTGGAAAGAAAAGAAAGGAACGTGGGCTCAAGAATTGGCAACAAACGAGGTATCTATGTGCTCCACTAGTATATAAAATTATAGCTTACAACGCCTTACAATGTGTGTATGGCATCGCCTAGGCGTCCGCCACAAACGCCTAGGCGTTGTGAAGGGGGTCGGGCGCGGCGCCTCGCCGCGGCGCCTCAAAAACATTGGCTAGAAGTTTTCACCAATGTATACTGGTGTTTTAGTTTGGAGCTTTGCTAATCGGTTGTATTATTTGGACCTTCTAGGGTTAGTAGAGATATTAGTTGGGTGTTTATAGAAAGTGAGGCAATCGACGAAGTTTGAATAGTCACTGCTTGGCTTGCAGCTGAAGCTTGCCGTGGCGTGTTCTTGTTGGGTTATGTCGGTTGCTGGTGGACAACGGTGCTGGTAAGATGGAGGCAGTGTTGTTTCTTTAGCCGCAATTGTGGCATTAGAGATAATTAATGATGTGTCAAAGGACACAATTGCCTTGAAGTAGCAGGGGAAGGAGGATGCTTAGAAGAGGGAGAGTTGACACCAAGGGAAGCAATGTAGAAACTGCAACTCAGCCACTCAGGGGTATTGTAGTCACTGTAGCATTGCTTCTGTTTGTGTCCAATACCATAATGAGTTATGTGGTAAACTTGTGACACAAAATGTACCATTTATTGTTTTCCTGCATGCGCCGAAAGCTCGAGTTTTGTTGTTGGGTTGGCAACCTTACTTGCTTACCATGTCAGGTGTATCTATTAATTGTAGTATTTTAAGTCTGAACTAGCATAATTGAACAAGAGTATTCATTTTGTCGTGAACTAAATTCTTTTAGATTTACATGCTGAACATACAATATGCCATAAATCAAGACTATAATTTTTTAGCTAGCTTGTATGTGTTAAGCTTTTCTGAGCCGATCACACCATTTGGACAAACTTACGCGCAGGAGAGCAGTGTATGGTTATCTTGAGAAGAAACAATGGGAAGAGCCCTCTCACACACGCGGGGTGGAAAACATAAACGGCCCTGACCAAAACATCGCACTACTCTGGCAGAAGGGCCATGAGGTTAGAAATATTTCAAGCCCTGGCCAAACTCCAAAACTGCAGCTCTTCGCTGGTGAAGCTCTAGCCAAGCAGAGAGGGACCCATCAAAGACACAAATATTATGATGATTCCATAATGTCCAAGTGGCAAGGATGACAAGGGAGTTAAAGTCCCTTCTGCAGCTCCTTACTGATACCTAAATTGAGAAATATCGCACCACTGTACATACATTTTTTTTAATGTTCAAATACACGTCTCACTTTTAGCTCTATTTATTTTTTATTAGGATATTACCTTTACACAGATATTCGATTGAGCTATTACCACTAATCCCTTATTAGAAATAATGGGCTTATGGTAGAAAGAGGATGGAAATTCTTTTGAATGCATGTGATCCCCTATTCAAGCATAGATGCATTAAGGTCAGTAAGCAGCAAGTGCCATAGAGTATAGGCCCTGTTTGGAACCACTTAACTTTCGGGAGCTTTTGCAAGAAGCATGTTTTTTTTATAAGTTATCTTTTGAAGAAGTAAAGCCGGCAAAAGTTTACCTGCTCTTTGATGCCGCCGCACGCTGATGTGCCATCATATTCCTTTGCCATTGCCGTGGATGCGCCAGCAGGGAGGCGCGTCGGCTGAGGAGGCGCTCCTGTGGAGGAGGCGCATGGTAGGGTGGGTCTCCTGCACAGGGAGTCGCCCTTTGAGGGAGGTGCTCTGGTGGTGGAGGTGGGGGGGTGCCTGTCAGTGCTCCGGCGGGAGGGGTGCTTTGGTGTGGGACGGTGGCCTCTCGGGCGAGAAACGGTAGTCAGAATCGCGTGAGTAAAGGTGGAGGCGGAACTCAATGGTTGGAAAGGGGAAAAAGCTCCTCCCTGTGGCCTTCTTGGAAAAGCCGAGTCCTAGTTCATTTGCAAAAAAAAAAAAAACACTAAAAAAATTATGTTTGTATTTAGATTTTTAGCAAAGCAGCCTAATAAGCTGTTCCAAACAGGGCCATAGTAGTGCAACTTTAGGTGTTGCAGTTTCTCTTGTACAAATATTGCACAAACTTGTCACTTACGGTGTTTGAGTAACTGCTCCTATGGGTTGTTCTTTTTATTGACTGTTGGGTTCTAGTCTTTACAATGGGAACTATGCTAGCAACCAATCACCTAGATAACAGCATTGTTTTTCCTATACTTAAACCATACTGGTAACACAAATACACCTGGTAACCTTGTGAACGAGCAGTACCCTTTGCCTAATATACATACCCATTTGGAGAGTGAACAATTGGTTCTTGTGTCAGGGAAGCTTTGCTAGCGAGAATAGTAGTGATTTTTTAGTTTCAACCTGTAACCATTAGTGCATGTTGGTGTCATATCCATTTTCTAATTAGATGGTATTAACTACTGCAAAAATAAGGTTACTTTATTTAGCTTGTTACTTAAAGTACTAAACAAACGTGTGCTTTGAATTAAACAAGCTGATATATTAGTAAGTATGTAGCACATTAAACTTTGGTTTTGACCTGCTACATGTGTCTCACTGCTTGTATAGGAATTATCTTGGTACAAATATTGGTGTCTCTATACAATATATCAACTTATATTATATATTTTTTTATACATGTGGTACAAGTCATATTGCCTTTTTTTGGCATTAGCACAATTCCCTCCTTTACACATTGCTCTTTCATTGAAGCTCTAAGAATTTGCCACGGAATATTTGAGACCCTATAATTTCCACTCCAGAATAAAAGCCTGGGAGTTTTAGATCGGCTGTGGTTGTGAATTTGTGGATAATTAACAAGTTCATCAGTTGGCCAATGCCTCCTGGTTTTACGTTTCTAGACCTTTACTTTCGTTTGTTGTATATTAGCGATAGAAACATGTCCGTATATGTCTTTTTCTGAAACACTCATCTTTAGATACAAGCATGGTGAGTCCATTATCTTCAACGTCGTCCTTATTCGTAGTTATCAAAGTTTGGATTTGGGAAGGTTTTCTCACATTGACCTTCCCATAAGGCCATAAAGTGGGAGTCACTTGTGGCACATGAAACATAGACTTCACCTGGAACTGAAGTCTCATGACACGTTCACGCTTCCTGGGTTTCTATTACAGTGCGTGCTGCTTTAGCCAGCCTTGAGTCTACTGGCATTTGGGAGATATGATGCTTCTGCTAGAGTGGCTGCTGGACTTTGAAATGCCTAACACATGTGTCAGGACTCAGGACCCAGATATGGATAAAGAAGGTTGATAAGGCTTTGTGAACATGGTAATGGAGCAAGGTAATGGATGACTGAATCACTGAAAAGACGCTGCTCAGCTTGCAGCCGGAGCTGTGTGTGCTTGATGGCTTTTGTTTATCTCTGGTGGTCAATGGTGCTGGAAAGATGGAGCCAATGCTTCTTTAGCCATGCTTGCTCAATCACCTTATAGAGGAGGCGTCAGAGGCCAGGGAAGGATTATCCTTCGAGCTAGGAGTGCAGAGTTGATGCCAAAGGTACATGCTAACAGCTCTTGAGAATTCGTTAAAATTGTCTGGGATAAAATGATTCACAATTATTGTGCTTTTTTTAGTTGATCACTTGTGGGGCTAGACCCTAAACAAGGTTGAGTGTTTACTTAAAGTAGAACACACCGCTGGTGTGCGTGTCTAGTGCTATTTATAGCCGAAGATTGCTTTGAACATGTTGATTTTTGTGAAATAATGATGAAGGTTAAATCATGTGGGTTATACTATACCTTGAGTGTGAATGTGTGATGTTCTGAGTGGAATGTTTCACCACTTACTAAATATCTCAGAACATCTAGAAATGTTTCTGACACTTTTTATCCAGAAGTGTTTCTGACACTTCTCTAGATGTCTAGGATAGGAAATGCCGTCACAAAAAAAGGCACGATGGAGCGTCAGGTTGGGATGATATATGTGTTCTCTGATGCAGCTGGAGCGTCAGGTCAATGGCACCCCAACAATTAAACCAGATGGCGGAGTGGAGCTTCATGCTGGGATGATGCATGCACCTTCCAAGTCTCAGAACATTCTGAATGAGCTCCTCAGTTGGCTTCTGGGAAGTCTGTAATAGCTTAGCAGCAGGATTAGTGTTGACACCACCGTAGCAGTAGTCATCGTCGTTGTCTTTGTGTCACTGGAGTAGTCGTCGTAAGTGTATGTGCTGGGTGATGGATCTCCTGCAAGCAGTTGCTGGTGGTCCGTTTACTCTGAGTAGTCGCTCTCTATAATCTGTCTCTTACGAGTCTGCTGGTGGAACCTGGTGGTGTAACAAAATAAAATGCTATGGCTATTGGTTAATAATAATAGGCAGCTGTGTTTGGTAAATGTGCGTGCTGTATAAGATGAAAATGAATTCCTCCAATATACCACATATGGTGTGCGTGTCTAGTGCTATTTATAGCCAAAGATTGCGTTGAACATGTTGACTTTTGTGAAATCATGATAAAGGTTAAATCATGTAGGGCCTTGTTTAGATTGCAAATTTTTGCAACATGGACACTGTAGCACGTTTTGTTTGTATTTGACAAACTTTGTCCGATCATGGACTAACTAGGCTCAAAAGATTCATTACATGATTTATCCAAATGTTTCTTACTTATTATTTTTGTACATAATGCTCCATGCATGTGTCCAAAAATTGATGTGATGGAGAGAGAGTGAAAAAACTTGGAATTTGAAGGTGATCTAAACAAGGCCTAGGTTGTACTATACCTTGGGTGTGAATGTGATGTTTTTGATGGAATGTTTCACCACTTATTAAATGTCTCAGAACCTCGAGAAGTGTTTCTGACACTTTTATTCATAAGTGTGTCTGACACTTTTCTATATGGGCCTTGTTTAGTTCGCGGTTAGGAATCAGTATTTGACATTATAGTATTTTCGTTTGTATTTGATAATTATTGTTCAATCATGGCCTAACTAGGTTCAAAAGATTCATCTCGTAATTTACAATCAATCTGTGTAATTAGTTATTTTTTTATCTATATTTAATACTCCATACATGTGTCCAAAGATTTGATGTGATGAAGAGAGTGAAAAAATTTGAAATCCAAACAAGGCCATGTATATAGGATAGGAAATGTGGTAAAAGATAAAGAGGAGGCCCGTGAGCTGCTTCCTACCCTTTTGTCTCCTCTGCTCTGTCTCCCTGTCTCCTCTGCTCCTTGTCTTGCTGTCTCTTTGTCTCCTCTGCTCCTTTGCATGTCTCTACAATTCTGCATCGCCTAGGAAACGCCGAGAACGCGTAGGCTTGCCTAGGCCGCCTAGATATCGCCTAACGCTTTTTTTTTAAACTTTGACTGCATGACATCTTTTAAGTCTTCTTCAGAGCAAATGTGGATAGGCAACTGATTCCCCCCATGCTTCTTCATTGCCAGAGGATTCAATGGGATTGATGGCTGAACACATGACCAAGATGATGGTGAGCCGGATGATGATTTTCTGCATTGTCCTTTACAGGAGGTGCTGGCAAGTTAGGCTTGACTTAGACTAGCATCGTGAATGATGGACTGAGGAAACCCCATAAAGGGATGCATTTGTTGCTTGCGAGAGTGGGGAAGGGGTCTCATTATTGCAGGCTTTAACCTTGGTTTCAATGATGGGGACATCTTATTATCCCCTCCAATTGATACATGGGCATACTTGACATTTTGAATAGCTTGATCTCTGCACTGGTTAGAGCAAAAGAAAAGAAGTCGATCAGCATCCTGCCTATCAAATGAGGACACTGGTGTACCATTTACCCAAGTGATTCATAGGAGATTTCTGGTGCAAGATGTTTCAAAACCTGTGCTGCCCATTTAGGCAGGGTTATCCAGACTTCAACAGTAGGAGCTCCACAAGTCACGCACATGGATGGTAAAGGCTCATGAAGATGGCTTGTTATCCTCACTATTCAATAGAGCACGAACTAACTGCCTCTTCTCAATAATTTCACTCTTGATATGGCTCTCTAGAAGCTGATATCAAAACAAGTTTGGGCACTGCCAGAAACAAGAAATGACACGTGTGCAGAACTGCAAGTTGTGATATCGCAGTGCATTGTAACAACTCCATGTGGAAGATTTAGCTGAAGAGCTAGAGGAGCACTGGCTCAAGTTTACTCGCACGAATCTCAATATTCAACAGTGCATTCAAACCTTCTTCTAGTGCGCCCAACAAACATGCATCCAGGGTGCATGGTAATCCACAGACAAGAAATTTCATGTTCACATCTTCTTCATATATTCTTGTAGCTTGAAAACCTTCAGAACACCCTTCTTCCTTGTTCACTTCATTACCAGCATGGATGACATTGTTTTTGGAGCATCGCCAAGTAGGCGGGGGCCAAGCTTAACACTTTGTACGTAATTATTTCTTACACAGTATAGTCGAAAGGAGGCATGTGCAAGTTGAAATGCATCCCATGTATGGCTGCAGAAACTCTGAATGACCATCATTAACGCATGACGAAAATGAGATGCTGTATAAGATGAAAATGAATTCCTCCAATACACCATATATGGTGGTGTGTGTGTGTCTAGTGCTATTTATAGCCAAAGATTGCTTTGAACATGTTGACTTTTCTGAAATCATGATGAAGGTTAAATCTTGTGGGTTATACTATACCTTGAGTGTGAACGTGTGATGTTCTTGGTGGAATGTTTCACCACTTATTAAATGTCTCGGAACATCTAGAAGTGTTTCTGACACTTTTATCCAGAAGTGTTTCTGACACTTCTCTAGATGTCTAGGATAGGACAATGTCGTCATAGAAAAAGGGTGTGCTATACATAAAGGGCTTGTTCGCTTCTGAGGGCCTGTTTGGATGCAATAGCTGATAGTAGTCAGCTAGCTAATTGCACATAGCTAATATTAGCTGGATAATAATTCACTGTCTACCTATTAGCTTCTAGTTCCGATCCAGGATGCAAGGCGTCGGTGGCATCGTCGAGCTCGCGAGGAAGGCGGCGGCCTCGGCGTGGACCTAGTGGGCGGCGGGGGTGGCGGCCACGCGGCCGGTGCGGAACTACCGCGGCGTGCAGCAGTGCAAGAACAGGTACTACGCCGTGATAATTTGTGAAATTTGCGAATAATTTGTGAACAATTTGATCATTTGTGAACCATTTGACATATTTCTCTGATGTTTGGAATCCACAGAAATAACTTGAATTTTTTTTTGAAAAATTTTTACATATTTCTCGCTGAAATGTTTCACCACTTATTAAATGTCTCAGAACATCTAGAAGTGTATGTGACACTTTTATCCAGAAGTGTGTCTGACACTTCTCTAGATGTATAGGATAGGAAATGTCGTCACAAAAAAGTGTGCTATACATAAATTAATGGCTTGTTCGCTTCTTATTTAGGGTGCTTTTCGGGCTGCAGCGGAACAGTCAGCTGTTCGTGTGTTGTGTTAAGGTGTACCACTTGTTTGTATAAGTTATTAAGTTATATAAATCAAGACGCTTTGAATTTAACACTGCATCAGGAAATTCTGTCGGTCCTCCCTGAGGTACAAGTCAGATTTGGCCCCTGTGAAGTAGAAACTGCATGACATCTTTCAAGAAGTCTTCTTCATAGCGAATGTGGATAGGCAACTGATTGCACCCATGCTTCTTCATTGGCAGAGGATTCAATGGGATTGATGGCTGAACACATGACCAGGATGATGGTGACCTGGATGATGATTTTCTTTGAGTCACTGCGATAACAGGTACTGCATTGTCCTTTACATGAGGGGCTGGCAAGCTAGGCTTAACTTGACTAGCATCATGAATGATGGACTGAGGAAACCCCATAAAGGGATGCATTTGTTGCTTGCGAGAGTGGGGAAGGGGTCTCATTGTTGCAGGCTTTAACCTTGGTTTCAATGATGGGGACATCTCATTATCCCCTCCAACTCCTTTTGCACCAAATGACATCTGTTTTGAGTCGATACTTCCAGTGGTTCTATCCTTAGTAAGGGATGCTGACCAGCTTGATACATGGGCATACGAGACATTTTGAATAGCTTGATCTCTGCATTGGTTAGAGCAAAAGAAAAGAAGTTGGTCAGCATCCTGCCTATCAAATGAGGACACTGGTGTACCATTTACCCAAGTGATTGCAAGTGCAACCAAGCTTCTGTAGGAGATTTCTGGTGCAATATGTTTCAAAACCTGTGCTGCCCATTTTGGCAGGGTCATCCAGACTTCAAAAGTAGGAGCTGCACAAGTCACGCACATGGATGGTAAAGGCTCATATGAAGATGGCTTGCTATCCTCACTATTCAATAGAGCACGAACTAACTGCCTCTTCTCAATAATTTCACTCTTGATATGGCTCTCTAGAAGCTGATATCAAAACAAGTTTGGGCACTGCCAGAAACAAGAAATGACATGTGTGCAGAACTGCAAGTTGTGATATCGCAGCGCATTGTAACAACTCCATGTGGAAGATTTAGCTTGAAGAGATGGAGGAGCACTGGCTCAAGTTTACTCGCACGAATCTCAATATTCAAAAGTGCATTCAAACCTTCTTCTAGTGCGCCCAACAAACATGCATCCATGGTGCATGGTACTCCACAGACAAGAAATTTCATGTTCACATCTTCTTCATATATTCTTGTAGCTTGAAAACCTTTAGAACACCCTTCTTCCTTGTTCACTTCATTACCGGCAGGGATGACATTTGTTTTGGGAGCATCGCCAAGTAGGCGGGGGCCAAGCTTAACACTTTGTATGTAATTATTTCTTACACAGTATAGTCGAAAGGAGGCATGTGCAAGTTGAAATGCATGCCATGTGTGGCTGCAGAAACTCTGAATGACCATCATTAACGCATGACGAAAATGAGATGCTGTATAAGATGAAAATGAATTCCTCCAATATACCATATATGGTGTGTGTGTGTCTAGTGCTATTTATAGCCAAAGATTGCTTTGAAGATGTTGATTTTCTGAAATCATGATGAAGGTTAAATCATTTGGGTTATACTATACCTTGAGTGTGAACGTGTGATGTTCTTGGAGGAATGTTTCACCACTTATTAAATGTCTTAGAAAATCTAGAAGTGTTTCTGACACTTTTATCCAGAAGTGTTTCTGACACTTATCTAGATGTCTAGGATAGGAAAAATGTCGTCATAGAAAAAGGGTGTGCTATACATAAAGGGCTTGTTCGCTTCTGAGGGCCTGTTTGGATCCAATAGCTGATAGTAGTTAGCTAGCTAATTGGACCTAGCTAATATTAGCTGGATAATAATTCACTGTCTACCTATTAGCTTCGAGTTCCGATCCAGGATGCAAGGCGTCGGTGGCATCGTCGAGCTCGCGGGGAAGGCGGCGGCCTCAGCGTGGACCTAGTGGGCGGTGGGGGTGGCGGCCACGCGGCCGGTGCGGAACTACCGCAGCGTGCAACAACGCAAGAACAGGTACTACGCCGTGATAATTTGTGAAATTTGCGAATAATTTGTGAACAATTTGATCATTTGTGAACCATTTGACATATTTCTCTGATGTGTGGAATCCACATAAATAACTTGAATTTTTTTTGAAAATTTTACATATTTCTCGCCGAAATGTTTCACAACTTATTGAATGTCTCAGAACATCTAGAAGTGTATGTGACACTTTTATCCAGAAGTGTGTCTGACACTTCTCTAGATGTATATGATAGGAAATGTCGTCACAAAAAAAGTGTGCTATACATAAATTAATGGCTTGTTCGCTTCTTATTGAGGGTGCTTTTCGGGCTGCAGCAGAACAGTCAGCTGTTCGTGCGTTGTGTTAAGGTATACCGCTTGTTTGTATAAGTTATTAAGTTATATAAATCAAGACGCTTTGAATTTAACACTGCATCAGGAAATTATGTTGGTCCTCCCTGTGGTACAAGTCAGATTTGGCCCATGTGAAGTAGAAACTGCATGACATCTTTCAAGAAGTCTTCTTCAGAGCGAATGTGGATAGGCAACTGATTGCACCCATGCTTCTTCATTGGCAGAGGATTCAATGGGATTGATGGCTGAACACATGACCAGGATGATGGTGACCCGGATGATGATTTTCTTTGAGTCACTGCGATAACAGGTACTGCATTGTCCTTTACATGAGGTGCTGGCAAGCTAGGCTTAACTTCACTAGCATCATGAATGATGGGCTGAGGAAAGCCCATAAAGGGATGCATTTGTTGCTTGCGAGAGTGGGGAAGGGGTCTCATTGTTGCAGGCTTTAACCTTGGTTTCAATGATGGGGACATCTTATTATCCCCTCCAACTCCTTTTGCACCAAATGACATCTGTTTTGAGTCGATACTTCCAGTGGTTCTATCCTTAGTAAGGGATGCTGACCAGCTTGATACATGGGCATACGAGACATTTTGAATAGCTTGATCTCTGCACTGGTTAGAGCAAAAGAAAAGAAGTCGATCAGCATCCTGCCTATCAAATGAGGACACTGGTGTACCATTTACCCAAGTGATTCATAGGAGATTTGTGGTGCAAAATGTTTCAAAACCTGTGCTGCCCATTTAGGCAGGGTTATCCAGACTTCAAAAGTAGGAGCTCCACAAGTCACGCACATGGATGGTAAAGGCTCATATGAAGATGGCTTGCTATCCTCACTATTCAATAGAGCACGAACTAACTGCCTCTTCTCAATAATTTCACTCTTGATATGGCTCTCTAGAAGCTGATATCAAAACAAGTTTGGGCACTGCCAGAAACAAGAAATGACACATGTGTAGAACTGCAAGTTGTGATATCGCAGCGCATTGTAACAACTCCCTGTGGAAGATTTAGCTTGAAGAGGTGGAGGAGCACTGGCTCAAGTTTACTCGCACGAATCTCAATATTCAACAGTGCATTCAAACCTTCTTCTAGTGCGCCCAACAAACATGCATCCAGGGTGCATGGTACTCCACAGACAAGAAATTTCATGTTCACATCTTCATATATTCTTGTAGCTTGCAAACCTTCAGAACACCCTTCTTCCTTGTTCACTTGATTACCAGCAGGGATGACATTTGTTTTTGGAGCATCGCCAAGTAGGCGGGGGCCAAGCTTAACACTTTGTACGTAATTATTTCTTACACAGTATAGTCAAAAGGAGGCATGTGCAAGTTGAAATGCATCCCATGTATGGCTGCAGAAACTCTGAATGACCATCATTAACTAATGACAAAAATGAGATGATGTATAAGATGAAAATGAATTCCTCCAGTATACCATATATGGTGTGTGTGTGTGTCTAGTGCTATTTATAGCCAAAGATTGCTTTGAACATGTTGACTTTTGTGAAATTATGATGAAGGTTAAATCATGTGGGTTATACTATACCTTGAGTGTGAACGTGTGATGTTCTTTGTGGAATGTTTCACCACTTATTAATTGTGTCAGAACATCTAACACTTTTATCCAGAAGTGTTTTTGACACTTCTCGAGATGTGTAGGATAGGAAAAATGTTGTCACAAAAAAGGGTGTGCTATACATAAAGAGCTTGTTCGCTTCTAAGGGCCTGTTTGGATCCAATAGCTTGTAGTAGTCAGCTAGGTAATTGCACATAGCTAATATTAATTGGATAATAATTCACTGTCTGATGTAGACTAGGCCCGATCTTTCGAAAGGTATGATAGCGTCGATTGGTGGAGATTCGACGTTCATGATCTAGGCTTCGAACCAAGACCGATTCGGACCCCTGCAACCATTACACCACTGCTCCGTTGGTTATCAACCACGCGAACGCAATTGACCTCGCCGAGAAGGCTTTCCTGCAAGCGAATCGAGAACACAAGCAAGAACGGAATGAACGCAATCTGAATTTGCAAATAAATATGAGGCTTATGAAAATAAGAAGGAGGTCAAGTCTTTATTCGAAAGGACTAATCGCCACAGGCGAACAAGATCAAGAACTAGGGCCCTGGTTCACAGCAAGCGGCCTTGGCGGCGACAATTGCAGCAAAACGATGTCTGTTTCATGAGGAAATCAAGAACTAAACAAAACCCAAACCCTAAGGAGAGCGACGGCTACTAATTATAGAGTCTTGGGTGTCACCCCCTGGATGCGCCCCCTAATGGGCCCAAACACGATACATGGTCCAACAGACCAAAATACGGTGTCGCAGCACCCTGGCAGATTCTAGACGCTGACTTGTTTCGACGATTCCCGTTGATTCTGAATAGCTTTTGATGTGAGACCACTTGGATTGGCTTCCTTATCAAATTAGATTTCCATCCATATGTGGATTGTCGAAAATGAAGTCCGAATGCATCCTGGGTGACCAGTTTAAGGCAGACTGGTCCTGGAATCCGAGATGGACTCCAACTTCAGTTGGACTGGGCCTCCACCCTGAAAAAGATGAATTGGACGCCAATGCTGGACCTCCTCCTCTCCTTGGCTTGTATGCGACGAGGTACTGATGTCCTCATCACTGTCTACCTATTAGCTTCGAGTTCAGATCCAGGATGCAAGGTATCGGTGGCATCATCGAGCTCACGAGGAAGGCGGCGACCTCGGTGAGGACCGAGTGGGCGCGCGGGTGGCGGCTAAACGGCCGGTTTGGAACTACCGCGGCATGCAACGGCACAAGAACATGTACTACGCCGTGATCTGGAACATAATTTGTAAAATTTGTGAACAATTTGACATATTTCTCTGATGTTTGGAATCCACAGAAATAATTTGATTTTTTTTGAAAAATTTGACATATTTCTAGGTGGAGTTTTTCACCACTTATTAAATGTCTCAGAACATCTAGAAGTGTTTGTGACACTTTTATCCAGAAGTGTGTCTAACACTTCTCTAGATGTATAGGATAGGAAAGGTCGTCGCAAAAAAGGTGTGTTGTACGTAAAGGTGTGCTATACAAAAAAAAGTTGTGCCCTTAGAAGCCAGCTTGTTGGCTTCGGAGGGCATGTTTGGATAGTAGTTAGCTAGCTAATGTCACATAGTTAATATTAGTAGGATAACATTTCATTTTCTACATATTAGCTGGAAGGGTGTTTGGATACCTACCTAATTAACGAAATCATTTGTTAGAGGCGGTCCGCTTGCCTCCTTATGGAAATAAAAAATGCCTATGTGAAACACTTTTATGCAGTGATGGTGATATATGCTCGCACGCACCTGAAATGTGGCACAGTCAAAGTTAAGGATCTCAAGTTCCCTAACGCTAGAAAGCTCAGTGAGCAGCCTCCTGTAGTCTCTTGGCTCTTGGGCGTTGAGCATGATGCTGGCGTAGTCAATCTTGGGGAGATGCCCCAGCTCCTTGGAGCCAGCGCCGGCCATTGTCTGGCGCAACTCCAGCCATCGGAGGTTGGGCGCGTGGACGATCCACGCGCTAGGGACACGGAGGCCCCCACTAGGGGCAACATGGTGGAAGGCGATGTTCGCCAACCGCAGCTTCTCTAGCGTTGATGTGGTTGCCGAGATCATGGCCTCCAGCTGCTCCCACGCCTTCTCTCCAGAGAATATGACGTAGTCAAGGTTCAGCGTGGTCAGGCCACAGAACCCAGCGTAGGCGGCGAGCGGTGGCAAGAGCATGTAGGTGGTCAACTCTAGGTTGGCCAGCGTG